AAATTGGGCCCGGTAGCAGATCGGCAGCCAGTGGAGCTGGGACAACAAGGGCGCTGTATGCTCCCTGCGTCCTGCTCCCGTTAGTAACATGGTTGCCGCTCGCTGGACTAGCTGAAGCTTCCGGGCCGTCTTCAAGGGCAGCCCCACGTAGAGAGCGTTGCAGTAGTCAAGGCGGGATGTGACCAGAGCGTGTACCACCGTGGCCAAGTCAGACTTCCCAAGGTACGGGCGCAGCTGGCGCACGAGCCTAAGCTGTGCAAATGCTCCCCTGGTCACCCCTGAAACTTGGAGATCCAGGCTCAAAGATGAATCCAGAGTCACACCCAAGCTGCGAACCTGCGCCTTCAAGGGGAGTGCGACCCCGTCCAGCACAGGCTGTAACCCTATGCCCTGTTCGGCCTTGCGACTGACCAGGAGTACCTCTGTCTTGTCTGGATTTAATTTCAGATTTAATCATCCCCAACCCACCAGTATTCAAATTTGGGCGTAGCAGGTATTTGTGCCAAATTTGGTCCAGTGAATGAAAATACATCCTGCATATCAGATATTTACATTACGATTCATAACAGTAGCAAAATTGCAGTTAGGAAGTAGCAACGAAACAACAACAACAACAACTTCCTCTCCAGAGTTCTTATTCTTTTTTCACCACACCAGGACCGAACCTGCTGACATTCACCTCAATATTTCCAAAACCAGACTGATGAAAACAGCCAAAACAACCCATTCCTGCTCTCCCCGCCTTCCCTTCCCTATCTGTGTGCAGCCTCTAATCCCATCCCAAGGGCAATGCAATGGGATAGCTCCATAATCCACTTTCACCGAGATCGCCTTACATGAAAGGGGGAGCGGGTGTTGTGATGTGCCCATCTGTCAAGGCTGGGAATTATCCCCTCCGATCACATCAGGGTCACTTCTGCCCCTTTTCCCTGGCTTGGCGGCCTTCTGCCAGGCTCCCAAAAGTTGGAAGCAAAGAGGACCAGAGGCAAGTCCAGGAGATGGAGGTTTTGGGGCAAAGTGGTCAAGACTAGGTTTCCCAAGCCAACTCAAACAAACCCCGAAGGCCACCACGTTTGGAGAGTTTGGAGACAAAGCCAGGGAGAGCTATTTATTTATTTATTTCGAGGTTTTATATACCGACCCTCTCACCTTCAAAGAGGGATTCGGACCGGTTCANGCCGAAAGTTGTCGAATTTAGTGGGGTCCAGTGATGGTTTCTTCAACAGCGGTTTTATAATAGCCTGTTTTAAGCACGCTGGAATCTCGCCTTCCCGAAGGGAGGCATTCACCACCACCTTCACCCACTCAGCCAATCCCCCTCTGGCCTCCTTTAGAAGCCAGGATGGGCAGGGGTCTAGGATGGACGTGGTGGGCCTCATTCCTCCAAGTATCTTGTCCACATCCTCGGGCTTCACAAACTGAAAATAATCCATCAAAATAGGACAAGCAGGTGCTCGTGTCACATCCACAGAGACTGCATTTAACGTGGTGTCCAGCTCAGAACGGATCAAAGCGACTTTGTCTGCAAAGAACCGAGCAAATGCTTCACAGCGCGTGGCCGAATTGTCAGGGCTCCCGCCTGAGGTGGCGGGAGTTAAAAGGCCTCTGACAATCCGAAACAGCTCCGCTGGACGGTTCTTGAATGAATTCCTATGCACTTTGCACATATATTATTTGCAGTGCAAAACACCCCCCCCCCCCCCCCCCCCCCCCGCCCAAATCAAAAACCAAAAACCCACACTTGTATATAAATAGAAATGTCATGTTCGTTTGTGGGATTAACAGAACTCAAAAACCACTGGATGAATTGACACCAATTTTGGACACAAGACTCCTAACAACCCAATGTATGTCCTTCACTCAAAAAATTGATTTTGTCATTTGGGAGTTGTAGTTGCTGGAATTTATAGTTCAACTACAATCAAAGAGTATCCTGAACCCCATCAATGATGGAATTCAACCCAACTTGGCTCACAGTTCTCCCATGGCCAACAGAAAATACTGGAAGGGTTGCTGTGGCCCACATGGGGGTTCTGTGTGGCCCAATTCTATCATTGGTGGGGTTTGGAATGCTCTTTGATTGTAGGTGAACTACAAATCCCAGCAACTACAACTCCCAAATGTCAAGATTCTATTTTCCCCAAACTCCACCAGTGTTCACATTTGGGCATATTGAGTGTTCGTGTAGAGTTTGGTCCACATCCATAATTGTTTGAGTCCACAGTGATCTCTAGATGTAGGTGAACTACAACTCCAAAACCAAAGGACACTGCCCACCAAACCCTTCCAGTATTTTCTGTTGGTCATGGGAGTTCTTTGTGCCAAGTTTGGCCCAATTCTATCGTTGGTGGGGTTCAGAATGCTCTGTGATTGTAGGTGAACTATAAATCTCAGCAACTACAACTCCCAAATGACTAAATCGATTTTTTTTGAGTGCAGGACATACATTGGGTTGTTAACGCCTCTCAGCATCTTAACACCTCTCAGCAAGAGATTTTCCCAGGCTCAGCCAGGCCTTCAAATGCTAATGAAGGTGGTCAGTTGAAACATTCACACCTAGCTCCAGCAGAGAAGAGCTCGTTGCCCCACCCCAGCCATTCCACAGATATAGAAACCCATTGTCCTAATTCCAACAGACCTCACTACCTCTGAGGATACTTGCCATAGATGCAGGCGAAATGTCAGGAGAAATGCCTCTAGAACATGGCCCTTATAGCCCGGAAAAACCCACAAGAACTGGAAGGGTTTGGTGGGCAGTGTCCTTTGGTTTTGGAGTTGTAGTTCACCTGCCTCCATAAATCACTGTGGACTCAATGATAGATCTGGACCAAACTTGGCACCGATACTCAATATGTCCAAATGTGAACACTCGTGGCATTTGGGGGTTGTATTTGCTGGGATTTATAGTTCAATCAAAGAGCATTCTGAACTCCACCAATGATGGAATTGAACCCGACTTGGTACACAGAACTCCCATGAACAACAGAAAATACTGGGTTTGATACATTGCGTGTGCAAAGTTGTATTAAAAGAGCAGAGGAAAACACATGCAAAGTTTGAATTTTAAAATATAGAAAGATGTAAAAGGTGAAAAACAAGGTCTTATTAATATATATCAAACACTGATATTTAAATGGCTGAAGGAATTAATTGGATGCAAAGGGGAAACTGGATCATGGTCTGTGCACACGTTCTTTGTATTTTTAAAGGTAAGCATTTCTCTACTTGATCAGCATCAGGACAGATCTGTTGACATCCCATGAAAGCCATTATGAAAAGTCAAATGCAAACCAATAATTGTAAAAACCTGAGTGCCGCTCCGTCAATTGCGGACACTAGGCTTGGGTAACCACGGAAAAATTTGGTTCGTTTTTAGGGGGCCCTTGCGTTTCGTTTTTTTTAAAAGAATTCCGAAATTTTACTTTAAAAAATTTCGAAAGATACGAAATTTCGTAAAATTACGAATCGATTCGTTAATGGCGGACGCGATTGCGCCAGCTTGTGCGCCAGCTGCGCCCGTACCTTGGGAAGTCTGACTTGGCCACGGTAGTCCACGCTCTGGTTACATCCCGTTTAGACTACTGCAACGCTCTCTACGTGGGGCTGCCTTTGAAGACAGCTCGGAAGCTCCAACTAGTCCAACGCTCAGCAGCCATGATTTTAACAGGGAGCACACAACCCCCCTGTTGCGCCAACTCCACTGGCTACCGATCTGCTACCGGGCTGAATTCAAAGTTAGAAAGGATCAGGGGTCAGGCAGGGGTGCAGGACCCCCAGGGGACATCTAGACCAACCCCCTCCCCAATACCCACAGGCCCAGAAGAGGGAACTGCAAATGGAGAGGAGGGAATCAGGGGTCGGGCAGGGCTGAGGGAGCCCCAGGGGTCATCTAGTCCACCACCACCACCCCTAACCTGACTGGAATCCACAGGTAGAAGGGATCAGAGGTCAGGCAGGGGTGCGGGACCCCCAGGGGACATCTAGACCAACCCTCTCCCCAATATCCACACGCCCAGAAGAGGGAACTGTGAACGGAGAGGAGGGAATCAGGGGTTGGGCAGGGCTGAGGGAGCCCCAGGGGTCATCTAGTCCACCACCACCACCCTAACCTGTGCTGTAATCCACAGGTAGAAAGGATCAGGGGTCAGGCAGGGGTGCGGGACCCCCAGGGGACATCTAGACCAACCCCCTCCCCAATACCCACAGGCCATCTAGACCTGCCCCCAAATTTAATATGGAATCCATACTCCCAGACGAGTGCAGCCCGTGCACCCTCAGGCTCAGCGGAGGGAACTGCCAACAGAGAGGAGGGAATCCGGGGTCAGGCAGGGTCCAGGGAACCCCAGGGGACGTCTAGACCAACCCTCTCCCCAATATCCACAGGCCCAGAAGAGGGAACTGCGAACAGAGAGGAGGGAATCAGGGGGGCAAACAGGACCCAGGGAACCCCAGGGGACATCTAGACCACCACCACAGGTAGAAAGTAAGGGCTCAGGGGTCAGGCAGGGGTGGGGGACCCCCAGGGGCCATCTAGACCACCCCCAAATCTAAGATAGAATCCGTACTCCCAGAAGAGGGAACTGAAAGCAGAGAGAGGCTCAAGGAGGGCCAAGAGACTCCCAGGGGCCATCCAGACCAACCTCCCAAATCTGTGCTGGAATCCACAAGCCCAGAAGAAGGAACCACAAACAGAAAGGAGGGAATCAGGGGGTCATGCAGGGCTAACAGAACCCCAGAGGCCATCTAGACCAACCCCCCCCCCCCCCCACCAAATCCGTTCTGGAATCTACAGGCACAGAAGAGGGAACTGTGAATGGAGAGGAGGGAATCAGAGGGTCAGGCAGGGCCAAGGGACCTCCAGGGGCCATCCAGACCAACCCCAAATCTGAGCTGGAATTCACAGGCAGAGAGAAGAGAATCAGAGGGTCAGGCAGGGCTGAGGGACCCCCCAGGGGACATCTAGTCCACCACCACCACCCCTAACCTGGCTGGAATCCACAGGTAGAAGGGCTCAGGGGTCAGGCAGGGGTGGGGGACCCCCAGGGGCCATCTAGACCACCCCCAAATCTAAGATAGAATCCGTACTCCCAGAAGAGGGAACTGAAAGCAGAGAGAGGCTCAAGGAGGGCCAAGAGACTCCCAGGGGCCATCCACCACCACCACTCCTAACCTGGCTGGAATCCACAGGTAGAAGGGATCAGGGGTCAGGCAGGGGTGGGGGACCCCCAGGGGACATCTAGACCAACCCTCTCCCCAATATCTACAGGCCCAGAAGGAACTGTGAATGGAGAGGAGGGAATCAGGCAGGGCTGAGGGACCCCCCCCCAGGGGCCATCTAGACCGACCCCCCAAATCTGAGGTGGAATCCACAGGCAGAGAGAAGAGAATCAGAGGGTCAGGCAGGGCTGAGGGACCCCCCAGGGGCCATCTAGACCGACCCCCCAAATCTGAGGTGGAATCCACAGGCAGAGAGAAGAGAATCAGAGGGTCAGGCAGGGCTGAGGGACCACCCAGGGGCCATCTAGACCGACCCCCCAAATCTGAGGTGGAATCCACAGGCGGAAAGAAGAGAATAAGAGGGTCAGGCAGGGCTGAGGGACCCCAGGGGCCATCTAGACTAGCTCCCCAAATCCACATGCCCAGAAAAAGGAAACAACAAGCAGAGAGGAGGGAATCAGAGGGTCATGAGGGCCAAGGGACCCCAAGGGCCATCTAGACTAGCCCCCCAGTTCCACATGCCCAGAAGAAGGAATTGCAAGCAGAGAGGAGGGAATCAGCGGACGGACCCCCAGAAGCCGAAGACCCCCGAAGCTCCCCAGGAATGAAGTCCAGCCCGTGCACCCTCAGGCTCAGCGGAGGGAACTGTGAACAAAGAGGAAGCAATCCGGGGTCAGGCAGGGTCCAGGGAACCCCAGAGGACATCTAGACCAACCCTCTCCCCAATATCCACAGGCCCAGAAGAGGGAACTGCAAATGGAGAGGAGGGAATCCGGGTCGGGCAGGGCCCAGGGAGCCCCAGGGGACATCTGGTCCACCACCACCACCCCTAACCTGTGCTGGAATCCACAGACAGAAAGGATCAGGGGTCAGACAGGGATGGGGGACCCCCAGGGGCCATCTAGACCACTATCCCAAATCTGAGATGGAATCCATAGTCCCAGATGAGGGAACCGAAAGCAGAGAGAGGTTCAAGGAGAGCCAAGGGACTCCCAGGGGCCATCCAGACCAACCTCCCAAATCTGTGCTGGAATCCACAGGCCCAGAAGAAGGAACCATAAGCAGAAAGGAGGGAATCAGGGGGTCATGCAGGGCTAACGGAACCCCAGAGGCCATCTAGACCAACACCCCACCACCACCACCAAATCCGTTCTGGAATTTACAAGCACAGAAGAAGGAACCGTTAATGGAGAGGAGGGAATCAGAGGGTCAGGCAGCGCCGAGGGACCTCAGGGGCCACCTAGACCAACCCCCAAATCTGAACTGAAATTCACAGGCAGAGAGAAGAGAATCAGAGGTTCAGGCAAGGCTGAGGGACCCCAAGGACCATCTAGACTAACCCCCAGATCCACATGCCCAGAAGATGGAACTGCAAGCAGAGAGGCAGGAATCAGAGGGTCATGTAGGGCCAACGGACCCTCAGAGGCTATCTAGACCCCCCTCCTCCCAACCTGTTCTGGAATCCATAGGCCCAGAAGAGGGAACTGCGGATGGAGAGGAAGGAATCAGAGAGTCAGGCAGGGCCAAGGGACCCCCAGGGGCCATCCAGACCAACTTCCCAATGCCAATGCAGAAATCATATAATCATACAATGAGACCCTTGAAGGGCCACCCAGTTTAACTCCATTCTGCCACCCAGCAACACACCATCCAAGCCCTCCCAACAGATGGCCATCCAGCCTCTGTTTCAAAATATTTAGAGGAGGAGACTCTGTCATACTCCCAGCCAAATATCTCATTCTCTTCCCATCAGGAAGTTGCTCCTAATGTTTAGGTGGAATCCACAGCTAAGGAGACTCCTACCACCACCGCAGATTCCCCGAGGGCATCTAGCCCAACCCTTTCTGCCAGTGCAGATCCACAGAGAGGCACCCCACAGCAACGCCTCCTCTTTCCCCCCAAACCCACATGTCTCTCCTCTGGATGTACAGGAGCGGGGCCAGGGAGCTCTGCTCTATCATGGTATTTCCTTTTCAGACAGCAGTCCCCATCATCCCCAACCTGGCACAGCACCATTCTGCCCTGGAGACTCTGGGCGCCAAAGTAAAGTAGTTTTGGGTTTTTGTAGGTTTTTTCAGGCTATATGGCCATGTTCTAGAGGCATTCTCTCCTGACGTTTCGCCTGCATCTGTGGCAAGCATCCTCAGAGGTAGTGAGGTCTGTTGGAACTAGGAAACTGGGTTTATATATCTGTGGAATGACTCTTGTCTGCTGGAAGAAGGTGTGAATGTTTCAACTGACCACCTTGATTAGCATTTGATGGCCTGGCAGTGCCTAGAGCAAACTTTTGTTGAGAGGTGATTAGATGCACCTGATTGTTCCCTCTCTGTTGTTTTGCTGTTGTAATTTTAGAGTTTTTTTAATACTGGTAGCCAGATTGTGTTCATTTTCCTGGTTTCCTCCTTTCTGTTGACATTGTCCACATGCTTCTTGTGGATTTCAATGGCTTCTCACACACTGGACCCTTGACCCAAGAGGCTGGCATGTTGAGGGAGGGAGGGACGGAGGGAGGGGGGGACCCACCTGGTGCTCCTGGATCCGGGCCACGATGGTCTTGGTGAGGCTTTTGGTGTCGGCGATGACCTTGTCGATCTTCACCGGCCGGCTGTAGAGGAGGGGCAGCCAGGCCCACAGGAACCCACACAAGGAGACACTGGGGTAGCGCATGGTCACCTCTGTTGGAAACAAAAACCTTTTTCAAGCCTCCACGAGTGATTTGTTATGCATATAATTCAGATTGCTTGCTGTATTATATATGTGTGTATTGGTATGCAGTTTTCCTTAACTCTATGTTGTGGGAGGGGCTGCAGACCACACGATCAGATCTGGGATTGTTCAGACTCAGACTCCATTTTTTAGAAGTCAGTGTTTGCATCAGAAGCAGTATGCTACGGTTTAGGAACAGAATGCGTTAGAGAAGAGACTCTATAAGACTCTCAGGCCAGAGAGATGCTTTAGACCAGGCATCCTCCAACTGCGGCCCTCCACCTGTTTGGGACTTCAACTCCCAGAATTCCTGATAATTGAACAAGCTTGTTAGGGCTTCTGATAGTTGGAGGCCCAAACAACTGGAGGACCGCAGTTGGAGGATGCCTGATTTAGACTTTGGACTGTTAAGATTATAAGGAAGATTCCAGCAGTCACCGGCCAACCCCTCTCCAATGCCAGGAATACAGCTTAATGGTGTAACATTACAAAATGTGGGCCATTTCTGCTCCCTTGGCAGCCACCTCTCCACCAAAGCCAACATCGACACCGAAATACAACACCGCCTGAGCTCTGCGAGTGCAGCATTTTCCTGAATGAAGCAGAAAGTGTTTGAGGACATCTGTAGGGAGACGAAGGGGCTTGTTTAAAAAGCCATTGTCCTCCCAACCCTGCTATACGCACGCGAGACGTGGAATGCCTACAGACGTCAACATTGACACTGAAATACAACACCGCCTGAGCTCTGCGAGTGCAGCATTTTTCCAAATGAAGCAGAGAGTGTTTGAGGGCTGGGACATCCGGAGGGAGACCAAGGTGCTTGTCTATAAAGCTATTGTCCTCCCAACCCTGCAATATGCCTACGAAACATGGACTGTCTACAGACGTCACATGCAACTCCTGGAACTATTCCATCAGCGCTGCCTCCGGAAAATCCTGCAAATCTCTTGGGAAGACAAGCGGACAAACGTCAGCGTGCTGGAAGAAGATGCAAAGACCACCAGCATTGAAGCGATGGTCCTCCGCCATCAACTCAGCTGGACCGGCCATGTTGTCCGGATGCCCAACCACTGTCTCCCAAAGCAGTTGCTCTACTCCGAATTCAAGAACGGAAAATGGAATAGGTTCTTGTGGGTTTTTTCGGGCTATAGAGCCATGTTCTAGAGGCATTTCTCCTGACGTTTCGCCTGCATCTATGGCAAGCATCCTCAGAGGTTGTGAGGAAAATGGAATGTTGGAGGACAGGAAAAGGGACTGAAAGATGGGTTCAAAGCCAACCTTAAAAACTCTGGCATAGACACTGAGAACTGGGAAGCCCTGGCCCTTGAGCGCTCCAGCTGGGGGTCAGCTGTGACCAGCAGTGCTGCAGAATTTGAAGAGGCACAAATGGAGCGCGAAAAAGAGAAATGTGCCAGGAGGAAGGCACGTCAAGCCAACCCCGACCGGGACCGCCTCCCACCTGGAAACCAATGCCCTCACTGAGGGAAAAGATGTGGATCAAGAAGGGCTCCAAAGTCACCTACAGACCCACCGCCAGGATACTACAATTGGAGGACCATCATCCTCGGATTACGAGGGATTGCCTAAGTAAGTAAGTATGCAGGTGCCCTCCCTCATTGACTATGCTATCTTCACATGCAAATCAGTCTTGCTAATTGCACCCAATAGGGCTCCTAAGTCACCTAAGGACTCACCGCCAGGACACTGATCCTGGAAGACTATCCTACTTGGACAATGAGGGATTGTCTAAGGAAGTAAGGTCTCAGCATGAGAAGGTCTCAGTGTCGCCTCAGTGTGAGAGAGGTGTCGGTCTGAGGGAGCCCTCAGTGTGAGGAAGGCCTCAGTGTTAGTAGGCCTTAGTATGAGAAGGCCTCAGTGTTAGTTCGCCTCAGTGTGAGAGAAGTGTTGGTCAGAGAGAGCCCTCAATGGGATAATCATCATCATCATCATCATCATCATCAATACCCCGCCACCATCTCCCCAAAGGGGACTCGGGGCGGCTTACATGAGGCCGAGCCCAGAGATACATAACAGCAAAATTAAATAAAATACAATAAAATAAAACCAAAACAGCAGAAATAACATCACAATAAAATAAATAAAGGATAGAAATACAATAAAACAAACCAAAATGAAACAGAACAAGATAAGGAATGAGGAATCAATCACAATGAGCGGGCCACATGTACAACCTAAAATGATACAACTCTGGATGAGAAAAGAAAAAGAAATGTTTGAGGGATAGAGGCCTCAGTGTGAGGAAGGCCACAGTGTTAGTAGGCCTCAGTATGAGAAGGCCTCAGTGTTAGTTCACCTCAGTGTGAGAGAGGTGTCAGTCTGAGAGAGCCTTCAGTGTGAGGTAGACCTCAGTGTGAAGTAGGCCTCAGTATGAGAAGGCCTCAGTGTTAGTTCGCCTCAGTGTGAGAGAGGTGTCGGTCTGAGAGAGCCTTCAGTGTGAGGCAGACCTCAGTGTGAAGTAGGCCTCAGTATGAGAAGGCCTCAGTGTTAGTTCGCCTCAGTGTGAGAGAGGTGTCGGTCTGAGAGAGCCTTCAGTGTGAGGCAGACCTCAGTGTGAAGTAGGCCTCAGTATGAGAAGGCCTCAGTGTTAGTTCGCCTCAGTGTGAGAGAGGTGTCGGTCTGAGAGAGCCTTCAGTGTGAGGCAGACCTCAGTGTGAAGTAGGCCTCAGTATGAGAAGGCCTCAGTGTTAGTTCGCCTCAGTGTGAGAGAGGTGTCGGTCTGAGAGAGCCCTCAGTGTGAGGCAGACCTCAGTGTGAAGTAGGCCTCAGTATGAGAAGGCCTCAGTGTTAGTTCGCCTCAGTGTGAGAGAGGTGTCGGTCTGAGAGAGCCCTCAGTGTGAGGAAGGCCTCAGTGTGAAGTAGGCCTCAGTATGAGAAGGCCTCAGTGTTAGTTCGCCTCAGTGTGAGAGAGGTGTCAGTCTGAGAGAGCCTTCGGTGTGAAGCAGGCCTCAGTGTGAAGTAGGCCTCAGTATGAGAAGGCCTCAGAGTTAGTTCGCCTCAGTGTGAGAGAGGTGTCGGTCTGAGAGAGCCCTCAGTGTGAGGAAGGCCTCAGTGTGAAGTAGGCCTCAGTATGAGAAGGCCTCAGTGTTAGTTCGCCTCAGTGTGAGAGAGGTGTCAGTCTGAGAGAGCCTTCGGTGTGAAGCAGGCCTCAGTGTGAAGTAGGCCTCAGTATGAGAAGGCCTCAGAGTTAGTTCGCCTCAGTGTGAGAGAGGTGTCGGTCTGAGAGAGCCCTCAGTGTGAGGAAGGCCTCAGTGTGAAGTAGGCCTCAGTATGAGAAGGCCTCAGTGTTAGTTCGCCTCAGTGTGAGAGAGGTGTCAGTCTGAGAGAGCCTTCGGTGTGAAGCAGGCCTCAGTGTGAAGTAGGCCTCAGTATGAGAAGGCCTCAGAGTTAGTTCGCCTCAGTGTGAGAGAGGTGTCGGTCTGAGAGAGCCCTCAGTGTGAGGAAGGCCTCAGTGTGAAGTAGGCCTCAGTATGAGAAGGCCTCAGTGTTAGTTCGCCTCAGTGTGAGAGAGGTGTCAGTCTGAGAGAGCCTTCGGTGTGAAGCAGGCCTCAGTGTGAAGTAGGCCTCAGTATGAGAAGGCCTCAGAGTTAGTTCGCCTCAGTGTGAGAGAGGTGTCGGTCTGAGAGAGCCCTCAGTGTGAGGAAGGCCTCAGTGTGAAGTAGGCCTCAGTATGAGAAGGCCTCAGTGTTAGTTCGCCTCAGTGTGAGAGAGGTGTCAGTCTGAGAGAGCCTTCGGTGTGAAGCAGGCCTCAGTGTGAAGTAGGCCTCAGTATGAGAAGGCCTCAGAGTTAGTTCGCCTCAGTGTGAGAGAGGTGTCGGTCTGAGAGAGCCTTGTGTGAGGCAGACCTCAGTGTGAAGTAGGCCTCAGTATGAGAAGGCCTCAGTGTTAGTTCGCCTCAGTGTGAGAGAGGTGTCGGTCTGAGAGAGCCCTCAGTGTGAGGCAGACCTCAGTGTGAAGTAGGCCTCAGTATGAGAAGGCCTCAGTGTTAGTTCGCCTCAGTGTGAGAGAGGTGTCGGTCTGAGAGAGCCCTCAGTGTGAGGCAGACCTCAGTGTGAAGTAGGCCTCAGTATGAGAAGGCCTCAGTGTTAGTTCGCCTCAGTGTGAGAGAGGTGTCGGTCTGAGAGAGCCTTCAGTGTGAGGCAGACCTCAGTGTGAAGTAGGCCTCAGTATGAGGCCTCAGTGTGAGAGAGGTATCGGTCTGAGAGAGCCCTCAGGGTGAGGAAGGCCTCAGTATGAGAAAGCCTCAGTGTGAAAAAGGAAGGGGCCTGAAGCTACTAGGAATTGTGGAAATTGAAGTCCAAAACACCCAGAGGGCCCAAGTTTGCCCATGCCCTTTTGGAGGGCATTTCCTTAACATTGCTTTCTCCTTCAGGTGCGAAAGAAGCAGCGCTGGGAAGAAGGCTTAAGCAACTGAGGGGGAAAAGGAAAGGGCCTGAGGCTGTTAGGAATGGTGGGAGTTGGAGTCCAAGACCCCTGGAGAGAAGGCTAAAGTTGGCCCATGCCTGGTGCAGATGATACTATATAATCACCCTCCGACTTCTAATGACATTCACCCAATTCATAAGTTCTGCCGTTGGAATCTGGCCCATCTTTTGTTTTGAATGAGTCATAAACAAGTCCTAAACTTCCTTGAAGTGTGTCAAGGATTTCTCTGAAGAGGAATACCTTCTGTCCGGTCTTCTCAGTCCAGCTCGACCCTCTCCTCTCGGGTAACCTCTCCAGAGAATGCTTCTCCTCCTCCTCCTCCTCCTCCTCCTCGTGGGGTTTCCCCGGCCTCTGGATCCAGCCCTCAACCCGCTCCTTGCAACCAACCCGGGCTTGCAAAACAACACAGCCAGTGCCTAGGGAGGATTCCCTGCCTGTCTCGGCTATCCAGTCCTTCCAGTATGCCTGGCACACCTGTCCATCCAGCTCCTGAGCATAGGCAGAGTCCTGAGGGCAGG